GACAGAACCACTGAGCTAAATCCCTGGCCCAGGTGCCTTCTTCCTTCCAGAGGTTTGTCCTGCCCCTGGAGATCCTTGCATAAACTCCCCTGGAGGGAGACACCTGCCCTCCACTTGGTAAGGAAGCAGCCTGCCTTCTTCAACATGCACCGGCCCCTCTGTCATGATCAACTGCAGATGGGATAGGAAGAAAGCACCAATGGGTTCTTCACTAGTTATGACAGGAAGCACTTCCAACAGTTTTGAGCTTCAAACTTCTACGTCAAGGAGCAAACTTTAGACTTTAGAAGTCTGATGGAGTTTGAGGTAGAAATGGAGACACAGGGAAAACGGGCACGTTCATTAGCATATTGATTATTTTAGTAAATATTTATGAAACGTTTATTATGTGCTAGATGCCGGGCTCTCTAAAAATTCAAAGGTGAGCAAAACCTACACTATTTTTAAAAAAATTCTACACTATTAAAGCTTTCAGTGAACCAGGGCATGTAGGCAGAATGTTAAATAAGCAATCACATGGAAGAAGAGTCACAAATTGTGGTAAGTACGAAGAAGAGTGGAGAATGTCCTATGTATAAAAATGGAAGTCTGATTTATAAAAGTTTGATGTGAGATCAGTGCAGTAGGATGTGATCAGTTTTTCACAACATTCAATAGAACAGAGGGAAAGTAGGGTTGAAGGGAGGGGAGGGGAATGGGAAACAAAATAACTAAGCTATATTATGTATAGGTACAAATTCCCCATGACGAGTGTGACCATTATATATAGCAAACACGTACTAATAAAAAATAAATTTACAAACTCAATAGAGCAGAAAGGATTATAGAAACTGCCTGTGCATTGCGAATAGTATATGTTGAATGTGGTTTTGGAAATGTGACGGGGGTGGGGGGGTGAGAGAGGAAAAGAGAAACAGAGACAGATAAAGACAGAGTTAATGTGAAATAGGAAGAAAAGGGCTAAAGGAGTTGGGGAAGAGGGAAGGGCAGGGAACAGAAAAAAGGGAAAAGACAAAATATGAGAAAAGGAAAAAATGGAAACAAAGTCTATAAATAGGGAAGGGTGGAGGGGTGAAGGAAGGGCAGGGGCATGGGGTAAAAATAAGAACCAAGATACATCATGTAAAGGTACAAGATCCCCATGATGAAGGTAACCACACGGTATACCTAAAAAGTACCAATAAACAATGGGGAAAAAAAAGACACACAAAAATAGAACACTAGGTGGTAAAGTGCATTTCCTTCTATTGACAGCAGTGAAAATCTTTGAAAGCTAAAATGAAAAATCAAATTAACAAGACTTGTAGTATTAGGTACCATGGGTTGTCTTCAAGAATGGGATGAGAAAATTGTGGAGAGAAGGGAGACTGTGGGCCAAGGCCCTCTCAGTGACATCTTCCCGAGGGCAGGTAAGAAATACACACAACAGTCCGAGCCACTTACATTCGGGCACTGAGATATGCACAGCGACCCTCCCTCAACTCACACTCCATCTCATGTGGAGCTCTTTAGAAGGAGCAGTAGGAAGAAGGGAAAACATGGCTCTGGAGTAGAGGACGTGCCCAGTGGCACAAACTGGGTGTACCCGGGATCCTGACATTGAACAGAACCTGTGTTAATCAGTAAATACTGGACTCTCAAGAGACTGATCTGCCCTTTCTTCTTTATATTTGAAATTCATTGGTAGCTTGTTAATCAGTAAATACTGGACTCTCAAGAGACTGATCTGCCCTTTCTTCTTTATATTTGAAATTCAAATTGGTAGCTGAGGAGAGCCTAGAATCCAGGTCTGATCACTGAGAACATGTCCTTCACCACATCATGATGTCTTCCCAGATTCAAAACAACAGAAAAACAATAGCAACCCACACCCAGTAGACTTGCAGTGTGACCCCAGCAGCACCCAGGGTCAGGAACATGCACGGACTGTAAGGAATCACGTGTGAGTGGAAACGTATTTGTTACACAGCAACAAGCCCTGGGAAGGGCTCTTCCCAGTATCCAAAACATTCATTCTCCTGCCTTTAATCAAGCTTCATGCACTATACTGTGGATGGAGGTGGTTATATCCCGGAAGGCTGGGCAGTGTTGCTAGGGGATTCTTTCTGCTTTTCACAATGTGGTGCTGATAGTGGTGGGGGAGGTCAGAAGCTTCAGTTTGAAAATGCATCTTTGTTCATAGCTAAGGGGCAACTCCAGTCAATTTTGGCTTCTCTTATAGATCTGGGCCCAGGCTACCTCCCGGCGCTTGATCGATGGCAGCTGGATCGGGAGCTGGCGTGGTTCTCCTTCCCGCGGTGGATCCCGGCCCAGGCTACCTCCCTGCCCTTGAGCGATGGCCCCTGGGTCAGAAGCAGGTGTGGCTCTCCTTCCCACGGTGGATCCCGGCACAGGCTACTTCCCAGCTCTTGAGCGATGGCGGCTGGGTCATGAACAGGAGGGCTCTCCTTCCCGTGGTGGATCTGGGCCCAGGCTACCTCCCAGCGCTTGAGCGATGGTGGCTGGGTCTGGAGCAGGCATGGCTCTCCTTCCTGTGGTGGATCGGGGCCCAGCCTACCTCCCGGCGCTTGAGCCTTGATTCAACCTGGACCCACAGCCCCAGTATTCTCCTCATTAGTCCAGGCTCCTGGAATTAGCTGGGCTCAGGTCTGCTACGTTATTAGTGGGGTAAAAGGTGCCATGATGTCTCTGTGGAAATTCCACCACTAATTCATACCCACATCAACTGTTGAGGGTTATGGCAGAGAACACTAGGTACCTATTATTAGGCAGCAGTTCCTTCAATCTAACTCCATTCTAGTTTCTCGTTTTGTTGGGGTGGACAGTACACTAGGCTAAGTAAAACTACATCTGTCAACTTCTCTAGTAGAAAGAAGTAACAGCTCTAAGCATTCAAATTCATAAACACATGAGCTTCTGTAAAAGTTTCTTAGGAGAGAAATCAGCTGGCATGTGTATCTTGTTTCCCTCATCTTCCTGTATCCCATATTGAATCAAAGTACAGTTTTAGGAGTCATCATGTCTCCGTGAGGATGAAGACACTTAGAAGGCTGGTAGACATAAAGACATAAAAACCCGAGTCTCCAGTGGCACTTTCGTCATGACATCACTCCTACACTGCCAACTACTGAAATTCTTCTTCTTTTTTTATTTTTGAAGAACAGAACGTAGCCTTTTTGATAAAATTGCCCAGAACAGCTTCAAACTTCTGACCCTCCAGCCTCAGCCTCCTGAGAATGTGGGCTTACAGGAGCGCACCACCCCTGGCATAACAGACAGGTATTGTGTTAAAGCAAGAAAAAGCACTTCATGAGTAGTACGTCTTACACAGAAACTTAAAAAAGGGCATACACAGCATTATAAAAATGAAGACCTCACATTACATTTGAAAACACACCACTTATTATTATTAGACCCATAATATCATTTACCCCTATTCCCCAAAACCTTGATTTGTGAGCATAATTCATTTCAGAAACACACTGGCAATCCAAAGCACTTGTCTATCAACGTGAGTTTCCCCATAAGAAATAACAGAAACTCAGATGATCCATTCCACAACCCAAAAAATTCATGTTAAAATTATTATAATATTGTAATATAATACAAATCATAAAGACAAATAAACAAACTGACCTGCACTTACTTACCTTTAAAACCTGGTGGCTTATGTGAGGGAGTCAAGAGGGAGGAAGGCTATCATACAGGATACTTGCACTGTCACTAAAAGAATCACTGCTGTCTATTGGCTCCACGGAATCGTTTTCTTTTCGTGCCACTTTACCAAAGAATCTGTCCAGTCATACTTGCTTTTGCCTCCTTTTGAGGCTTTTGCAGAATTGAGACACTGCATTGTCATTAAACAGATTCATGGCTCACGTCAGTGGCATAGCTGAATTTTACAAGTCACTCTTGCAGCCAAGTGCCGCAGCTGTGAGGCACTGCTGAGCTTTACAGCTCAGTGTGGCAGCTCTGGAACACAGCTCTCCTCACGTGAAGATTCTGGTACGTGGAAGAGATGGGAAAAAACCTTTATTCACTGGCAAGTCCCAGGGGGCTCAGAGGATGCTGAGCACTCTACCAGGAATGAGAACCTCCCTCTCTAGGGACCTGCAGGGTAGGTAAGCATGCTCAATTAAGCGGGGCTGTGGTGGTGGGGGGGTGGAGTTCAAGAACTTTCCAGAAGCAGAGGGGCCGAATTACAGAACGTTCCTGGGGTGGGGGGAAAGCTTAACAGAACCTTTTTGTTTGTGGTGTGGGGGGAAAGCTTAACAGAACCTTTTTGTGAGGGGACAGAGCTTAACCGAACATCCCTGAAAGGACACAAAGTTCAAACAGCTGCAAACCATTTTGACACATTGGGTAGGAGCCCAGCAGCACAAAGATACATTTCCAAAACAACACATTTTGTGGGAAAAGAAAATGGAGGCAAGGCCAAGGCCTGTCTAATTGCACAGCACTTCTCTATCAATTGTCTTTGGGGGGAAATGATTATGATAGGTATCTTCCTGTCAGCTTCACAGGCATTAATGGGCCACGGCATGTTTCCTAAACAGAACATTACATTACTCTAATGTCAACGAAGTTGTAGCATCACTCTGAAACCAGCAAGAATTTAAAGCAAAAGGAATTGGATATGTTGAGTGTAGACACCATGCGAGCTCTAAAACAAAAGGTATAACAGAAAGGAAAAGGATTTTGGAACATCAGATGGATTGATTCTCATTTATAAACACTTGTACATCACTCTCCATAACCCACACAAGCAAGAAATTTCGTAACCTTTTCTGTGAACAAACGAAAGGTCCTAATGGTCACGAGTGAGGTGGCCCTGGTGGGTGTGGCTGGCTCTGCATCGGCCCCTTGGTTCTGTGACATCACAGAAGCAGTTTGCTATGTAAGGCCGTGGCTCAGGTGGGTCTGTTGTAGGTGGAAGGAGACTCTTTGAGAGAGAGTTGAGTGGAGACTGACGCTGAAAATTTGGTAATCGATTTGGTGCTATGGGGAGCGGAGGACGTCATGACACTGTGCCAAGCGGAGGTCCTGGTGAGTGTAGCGAGGAAACATCTTGGCTGGGCCTCACAATCAGCGGGTCTAGTTATCAACTCCAAGACAACTATGAGGTGCTGTGCCTCATTGGCCAAGGCAGCTTTGGCAAGGTGTTTGTAGGGCGACACTGTGGCACACGCAAGCGGGTCACCATGAAGGAATTAAAGAAGGCGGAGGGGCAAGCGGCCTACATGGCCACGGAGATTGCCATACTGAAGGGCCTTCGACACCCTAACATCACACAGCTGCTGGAGGTAACATAATCAAAGGAAAAAATACATCTTGTCCTAGAATTTGTGAGGGGGCTCAACCTGGGGCAAGAGCTCTTCCAGAGCAAAAGGCAGAGGCTGCAGGAGAAGGATGCCCTGAGTATTTTCCGAGACATCTTGGGAGCAGTAAATTACTGCCACAGGCAGGGTATCGTACATGGCGACCTCAAGCCCGAAAATGTTTTGATCAACACCTATGGCCGAGCTAAAGTATGTGACTTTGGGTTCGCGTTCCGGTTCATCCCCAGGCAGGAGATAAGAGCGCCTGGTGGCATGCCAGCATACTTTGCCCCGGAACGACTCCTGTATCGCACCTATGAAGGCCCTCCTCTGGATGTCTGGGCCCTTGGGGTAATACTATACAAGATGAATACAGGGACGCGTCTCTTCTGTGGAGAGCCACCAGAGATAAATGATACCATAATTTATGGGATTGTGTGTTACCCGGACTTCATCCCCATGAACGTCAAATACTTGATTGGAAAGATCATGAACAGGAGCCCCAAATGGCGACCAACAGCACAGGAGCTGGTGTAACACTGGTGGCTCCAGGGTGTCCGGCCCCCCAGTCCTCCTGGGCCGCTCCCTTTGCCCGCCAAGAGGGCCATTCTAACCCACATGGCAGGGATGGGTTTCGATCAACTTAAAGTGATGGACGCCCTAAGGAGGGAAGACTATAACCACCATATGGCAACATTCCTATTGCTACAGAGCCAGGCCCTCCAGGGACTGGGCTTCAGAAACGTGGGGAAGACTGTGCGAGCGGGTACAGACCAAACATCACGGCGCCCGACAGGTCCTGCAGTGTCAGCTCACATCCACTGGACGGCCAGCTAGCCTGTCCCCCGCACTGGTCGCTTATTCCCCGGACTGAAGACCGGCGGAGAACAGGGTGGCAGAAGCTCCCAGCCGCCCTTGACCATACAGAGGACCCCAACTCCCAGTGTGTACCTGGAGCGTGTCCATGCCCCTCCCCGCCGGTCCTGCCAGTCTGGCCCTGACTTTCCCAGCCTGTCCTCCCAGTCTAGTGCTGCCGATCCCAGCCTGTCCTCCCAGTTTGACAATACCTTTCCCAGTCTATCCTCCCAGTCTGGCCCTGCCTCTCCCGGCCTGTCCCCCTAGACTGGCCCTGGCGCTCCCCAGCTGTCCCCGCAGCCTGGCCCTGCCGCTGCCCAGCTGACACCGCAGCCTGGCCCTGCTGCACCCAGTCTGGCCTCCCAGCCTGGCCCTGCCATGCCCAGCCTGGCCTCCGAGACTGGCCCTGCTGGGCCCAGCATGTACTGCCAGCCTGGCCCAGCCGCTACCAGCCTGGCCTACCACCGTGGCCCTGATGCTCCCAGCCTTACCTCCCAGGCTGGCCCTGCTGCGCCCATCCTGGCCTCCGAGAAGGGTCCTGCTGCGCCCAGCCTGGCCTCCGACACTGTCCCTGCCGCGAACAGCATGTACTACCAGCCTGGCCCCGCTGCTCCCAGGCAGGCCTCCCGGCCTGGCCCTGCAGCACCCAGCCTAGCCTCTGAGACTGGCCCTGCAGCACCCAGCCTAGCCTTCGAGACTGGCCCTGCTGCGACCAGTGTGTACAACCAACCTGTTCCTGCTGCTCCCAGCCTGTCATCCCAGCCTGCCTCTGCCACACCCAGTCTGGCCTCCGAGACCGGCCCTGCTGTGCCCAGCATGTACTGCCAGCCTGGCCCAGCTGCTACCAGCCTGGCCTACCACCGTGGCCCTGATGCTCCCAGCCTCACCTCCCA